AGTAGTAGTAGTCGTCGTCGTCGTCGTCGTCGTCGTAGTAGTAGTAGTAGTAGTAGTAGTAGTAGTAGTAGTAGTAGTAGTAGTAGTAGTAGTGGTGGTAGTAGTGGTAGTAGTAGTAGTAGTAGTAGTAGTAGTAGTAGTAGTAGTAGTAGAAGTAGTAGTAGTAGTAGTAGTAGTAGTAGTAGTAGTAGTAGTAGTAGTAGTAGTAATAGTAGTACTAGTAGTAGTAGTAGTAGTAGTAGTAGTAGTAGTAGTAGTAGTAGTAGTAGTAGTAGTAGTAGTAGTAGCGCCAGAACTGCCGACGCCACGCCGTAAGTGAAGCAGCAGCAGAAGCAGGCAGCAAGTCGCCGAGACAACAGCAAAAGCAAGCAGGCACGGAGATGAGGGCGGAGCACTGGGGAGTTCTTTACATCTACATCTATATCTACACCTACATCTACATCGACACCTACATCTACATCTACATCGACACCTACATCTACATCGACATCCATATAGCAGCAGGAATCGTGGATGCTGTGCTGCGCTATGCTATGCTATGCTATGCTAGGCTAGGCTAGGCTATGCTATGCTATGCTATGCTGCGCTATGCTATGCTGGACTATGCTATGCTATGATATGCTATGCTGTGCTACGCTATGCTGCGCTATGCTATGCTATGCTATGTTATGCTATGTGTTTGCTTTGTCTTCGCTTTTGCCTTCACTTTTGCCTTTGCTTTTGCTTTTGCTCGGCACCCAGGGAGCGCAACTGGGGGAACCGCGCGTTTGCTTTTACCTTTGCTGTTGCTTTTGCTTGGCTCCCAGGGGACTGGGGGAACCGCCCGGGGCGGTTTGCACTGCCCGGCCCCTTTAAGCCAAGCGAGTAAGAACCCTTCTAGGCAGAGCCTAGGTAGGGAAAAAGAGCCCGTTCCCTTCATGGCGACACCTGTGCTCCGCAACCCTCACGGGCTGCGGCGGCGGGACGCCCTTGCCGGCCGCGGCCCTGGCCACGGCCGCCGCCGCGGCCTCGCTCTCGCTGCCGAGCTCCGCCGCCACCTTGGGCGACCGACGACGACGCCACGACGACATTCACCGCGAGGGCGATGACGGCGGCGGCGGCGACGACGACGACGACGACGACTGCGTCCTCCGTCGAGGCGGCGGCTCCCAAGCTGAAGGCATGCGGCAAGGGCGAGGGGCGAGGTGCCGGGCTGAACCCCACGGGCGCTGCCGGGCTCCTTCCCCCCCGTGGATGTCGATGGCCCTGCGCTCAAAACTCCTGCTCGAAGCAGTGCTTGCACTTAGGGGCTCTAGCTTGCCTCACCAAGGATTTGAATCTGCCCAGCGAGGCTCTTCCATGCTGCCCCCCGTGGCCGCCTCGTAGTCGCCTCGCGCGCTGAGTGGGTCTGGCGAAGTTCCGTCACTTTGCCGCCCGTGGCCGCTTTGTGGCCGCCTCGCGCGCTGGGTGGGTCCAGCGAGGTTTCGCCAAGCTGTCGCCCGTGGCCGCCGCGTGGCCGCCTCATGCGCCGGATGGGTCTGGCGAAGTTTCGACATGTTGCCGCCCGTGGCCGCCGCGTGGCCGCCTCGTAGCTTGCAGCGCATAGCTCCTACCATATGGCGTGCACATAATGGTTGCATCACACAGCTTGCACCACATAGCTTGCAACGCCTAGCTCACACCACATAGCTTGGCTTGCACTGAATAACTTTCACCTTATAGGTCACACCACACACATTGTACAACATAGCTCACGCCTCACAGCTTACACAGCCTAGCTTACTCCACGTAGAGCTTAAACAACATAGCCCACACCTCATAGCTCAGACCGCATGATTAGCTTACTCCACTTAGATTGCACCACATAGCTTGCACAACGTATCTTCCACGTCCGCAGTGCAATAACTCAATGTCTGGGGTCCATGCTGTCTAACAGACATTACAGAATTTAGGTCCAGCTTCGCTGTTGTTCCTTTTTCCATCCCGATTTGAGGTCCAGCTTCTGCAGTTTCTCGAAATGTTGAAATCCAGCTCGGAAGACAACATTTCTGAACAGAAGATGTGGGTGTACCCCTGCTGATCAAACTTCAGACGCGCCGGCCGGGGCTCGTTAATCAAGAGGATTCCTGCGGCCAGGTGCCCGAGCCAGGGGTGGTGTCCGATAGTTATCCGAGCGCGCGACTGGACCGTACCCCGACAGACGATGTCTCCATTTCCCCCGGCGCGGGGTCCCCGGAGGCCGAAAACGGCCAAAAACCTCCCGCCGCGGCACTTCGCGGCGCGAGCCTGTCTGGGCTTCCGAACCACAGTTCGTCCCTCTGGCTGCCGCTCGGGACGCTCCGGGCGCCCCCCAGAACGCCCACTAAGCGGAGCGCAGCTCCTGGAGGGCATCCCGAGGCTGGAACACCGCCGAGGACCGGCTGGTCCCCAGCCCTCTCGGGAGCTTGGGACCCCGCCCCCCGCTTTCCTCGTGGGCCCCCCTCCGCGGGCGCAGGCGCCTGGCGCGCGAGGGCCTCGGGCAGGTACGCGCGCTGCAGATCCTTCGGGGGTCCACCGCCCCCGGTGAATCCACACCCGGGCCAGTCAGGCCTTGCAGGATGCTGCAGGATCCTGCGCCCAAGCCCGCGGGTCAGTGCACACCTGGCTGCACAGGATCCTTCAAGATCCGGCTCAGCTGCCCCCCGACATGCGGCGTCCTGACTTTTTCAAGACGGCGTCCCGGGAAGTCCAGACCCTTTCCCCGGGGCTGGTTTTTCATCCTCTGACGGTGCTGGGAACCGGCGAGGGCCCCCATGGGACGAAAATTGCGAAAAACTCTGCCGTCCTGAACGTTGTACGACGCCATCGTGTCTGGGCCTGTCCCCCGTTTGCCTTGACCCCCGCCTCTGGAGCCCCGAGGTCCTCCACCAGTCCTGGCTCCGGCCGCCTGCCGGCAATGGAGGGCAGCAGCGGGTCGAGCGCGCGCCTGGGCCGGCTGCCGCGCGCGCCGCGGTCGGCGCCGGGGGCGGTCTCCTCCCTCAGCCGGCAGCGCGCGAGCCAACGCTCGAAGGCCAGCACGGGCTCGGTGATGCCTGAGATCCTGCCGTCGCGTTGTGTTCGGGCACGGGCGATTCTGCCTTGCTCCGGGCCCCGGGGACCATCACGGATCGATGCGGCTCGGAAAGTGCCGCAGAATGATCGGGTCTAGGGCTCCACTCGCGACTTCTCGCGATGCTGCACTTCTGCGCGGAGTCGGATCTCAGGGATGCCGTGGGCGGAGCACCGCCTGGACAGCAGCTTCCTCAGCTGCGTGCACCTCTGCAGCCTCATGGCCTCGACGCGCGCGTGCGGCGGCGCCGCCACGGCGGGCTCCGCGATGCCCTCTGGCAGCGGGGCCTCCTCCGCGTTCCAGAAGCGGTCCGCCTTAGAGCTTTTGCCGCAGCGTGCCGCCGCCTTCGCTCCCAGTCCAATCGGCTGCGCCGCCGTCGCATCATGCAGCGACCACGCCTTCGACTGGCCCTGCTGCCGCTGTCTCTTCCAGGACGGCATGGCGCCTCCCCCTGGGACCCGCCCGAGGAGCGTCTTGTGGCTGTGTATGGCTACTGCTTCCGCTGCAGCATTGTTTGGGCTGTTGTCTGGTGGACGGAATCGAATTGGCAGTCAATCTGCGGGCAGGTCGCCCTTGTCGTAAGTGGGGTCGCTGTGGGTCGAGTGCGTGTGTGTGTGTGTGCGTGTGTGTAATCAATCGGTCGCTGTAGGTCACTGACGAATGGCAGCAAGTAGAATTCATCAGCATTAGCCTTGGGAAGTGCGTACCAGTGGTAGCAGCAGCAACTATCTTAAGAACTGGCGCTCATACTTGCTCGCGTGTCCTGCATCACGTTTTCCCAAACCCTCGATATGCATCCTCCGAGCCTCCAATACTGCGCTGGATCGTCCAAGTCATCTCAAAATGGCCTCCAGCATGCCGCTAAGACGCGTCTTGTACGCAACAGCATGGCCCAAGGGGTCCAGGCAGCGTCCCAAGGATGCCCCCCCCCGACCCCCCTGAGAGGCGAACGCCCTTCAAACAAACCGATCCTTGTTCGATTGTTTTTGCGTTCTCGCCTCTCCATTTCCTGCGGGGTCTGAGGACCCGATGTGCCCCCGCGCGAGCCAGCCCCCAGAGGGGCCCAGAAGAGGCCCCAACATGGCCCCCAAGGCCTCCCCTCTTGGGCAGTCTTGGGGCCTTCTGGGCTCCTTCTGGAACCTCTCGTGTGCCATCTTGCGGTGTCACTGGGGTGCTCAGGGGCCGTCTGAGGGCCTTCGTCGGGCGTCGTGGGGCGCTCTTTGGGCCCCGCTTCCAAATAATTCCGCATAATGATAATGATAATGCTAATGGTACTAGTAACAAGAATACTGCGAACACTAGCAATGATAAAACGCAATACCAAAAACAACACTAGTAATACGAATGCGAATGTTAACGCTGATGATAGTACTACTATCAATGATACTAATAATGATAGGAACAATTGAAATCATACGAATACTGATAATCTTACTTCTAATACAGATACAAGCGCATATCAACGTAATACTAATACTAATACTTACTTTTTATCTTGAACATACGGATGACACTATAGACAATACTATAACGAATGCGAAGAAGAAGAACCTCATAACCTCAAACATAACTGCTTGGCCGATCTTGCCCGTCAGGGGCATCTCCAGGCCTCTCGGGGCCTCTCTTGAGGCACCTAGTGGCCCCGTGGGCCACTCCTCGAGACACCTTGGCAGCGTCTTGGGCCATCTTGTGCCGCTCTGGCGGCATCGGGTCGTCCTCCTGAATCATCCTGGACGCCTCTCGAAGCCGAAGTAGCCACCAATAGACGAGCGCGTTCCACTACTCGCAAAGTAACTACTCGCAAATTGGCTGGATCCCCCGCGGAGGATCTACGATCAATTACATCAAAGCGGACATGTGCTCTTCGGACGTTTGCGAGTAGGCACTCTGCGAGTAATGGAACGTGCTCGGTGAACCCAAAGGCCCCCGAAGGGATCCCGGACCACCAGGGCGGAAAAGGGGACGAGGGAGGAGGGGGGGCTGGGGGGCGGGGGGGAATGTTGGAAAAGAGTGCCATCCCTGGGCCCGCGGATGCAGCCGCCAGGAAATCATATGCATCTGGAGGACTCCTGACGTGAGGGAGGTCGGTGCTGGGATGGGGTGGAGGCCCACAGAGAGGCTCCCCAGACGCCCCTACGAGGCCCCGAGACGGGTCCCCAGGAAGCCTCCAGAAGAGACCCCCCGAGAGGCATCCCCAGAATTCTTCATCTGCATGCGAGGGGCCTCGGACCCACAAAAACCGGGCACTGTGGCGGGACACGGCATGGCAGCCCTGCAGTGCAGGGCGTCGGTGCGGAGGAGGCGGGAGGGGGACAGCGGCGGCGGCGGCGCACTTTTGCAGCGCGGGCCGCGAGACCGCAGCGAGGGCGCGCCAGAGGCGGGGGAGGCAGACGGCATGCTCCCGAGGACGGCCTACCCAGCCCGGATTTGAACTGCAAGCATCCTGAACGCATTACAAAACAATTGACCTCCTCTGAGCTACAAAGCAGTGCACACATTCAAAGTATAGGAATCCATTCTCATAGACTCATCAATCCTTGTAGCGTACGAAATTCTTGCGCTCCTAGAAAATATCTAGCCGCCTCGGCGTCATGCCAGCACTGCTCCAGGAGGTGGCGCGGGAAACTTCACTGTGCTGCGCATTGCCGCGCTCAGTGCAGGATCTGGCTGAAGCTCGAGAGAGACGCGCGCCAGAAGCCCCACGGATCGACGGCGCCGTATCCGGTGAAGCCCTCGGCTGTGGCGGCCCCGCGGAAGCCGAGCATCGCGCGGCGGCCGTGCTCGAGCTCGCAGGTCTGCAGGGTGTCGTTGTCCACGTCCACCATCACCTCGCGGAAGCCTGCGGGGCCCCCGAGCTCCCCTGGCTCCGAGCCCTCGGGGGCCTCTCGAGGGCGCCCAGCTCGACGACGCCAGCTGGGAGGGCGAGGATCGCGTAGCCCTGTTATCCCCCCCCCCGGCTCCGAGGAGGGGGCGCCGAGCCCCGTTGGGCACGTCGTCCATGGGGATGGCCCCGTTTGGACAGGGACCGACCGTCCGGGCATTCTTATAGGCCTACCACCTGGAGGGGACGCCCAACAGGTTTTGCTTAGCATGGCCCCGGGGCTGTTTCAGGGCCCTTGACGGCCGCCAGCGCGACCCATTGTCAGCGTTTTGTCGGCGACCCCGCCGTCGTCTGTCAGCGCTCTGTCGGCAACCCCGCCGTCGTTTGTCAGCGCCACCCGCTATCGTTTGTCAGCGGTTTGTCGGCGGCCCCGCCGTCGTTTGTCAGCGCGGCGTCGGCGACTTCGCCGTCGGTTGTCGGCGCTCTGTCGGGGGCCCCGCCGTTGCCCGCCAATGCTTTGTCGGTGGCCCCGCCGTCGTCGGCCACCCAGCGCCCTCTTGCGAGCTCGACCCGGGCGCCCCCCACCCCCCACCCCCGCGGTTGCCAGGCAAAAAAATCAAACGAAGATTCTCATCCGCCACCTCTGCCCCCCCCCCTCGCCATCTCGCCCCCGCCCCCACCGACGCCCCCGCCTCCGGACCTCCGCCCGCCCGACCAGAGGAGAGGTGAGAGGTGGCAGGTGGAGCCGCTGCTAGGCCAAACGCCCCGCGGACATCCCAGGACGGCCCGGGACCGAACTGACAAGCCATAAAACATACAGAATGCAGAATTCGGGGGACACCAACATCATCATTATCCTGTCTCCTGGGGCGGCGGCGGCGGCGCGGGGGGGTGGCCTGGCGAAGTCCACGGCGAGCGTCTTCGCTCTGCAGGTCTCTCTCGTCATCTCTCTCGCTCTCTCTCTCTCTCTCTCGCTCTATCGTTCGCTCTCTTTCCCTCTCTCTCTCTCTCTCTCTCTCTCTCTCTCTCCCTCTCCCCCTTTTTGTTGGTGTGTGTATTCCTCCATCTCTCGCTCTCTTTCTCCCTCTCGTGCTCCCTCGCTCTCTCTCTATTATTTCTATCTCTCTTTCTCTCTCTCTCTCTCTCTATCTCTCTCTGTCGGTTTGTCTGTCTGTATGCATGCATGTATGTATGCATGTACGTCTGCATGTATGTATGTATGCATGCATGTATGTATGTAGGCACGTATATTATATACATCCCTAGAGACCCCGAGAGCCCGAACCCCGAGACACCCCGCCGGCGCCCATGTCGACACGCCCCCCGCGCGGATCGCGGGCCGCTGCCGCGGGCCCAGCCAGCAGATCCCAAGTGACCCCGAGAGCCCCCCCCCAGAGAACCCCGAGCCCTAGACGCCAAACCTGTCGCCTCAGCGCTTCACGAGCTCACAATCTCGCCCAGGCAGCGCCGCCGAGCGACGGGGATCAAGCAGTGAACCAGGACAGGGAGGAGGCGGAGGAGGAGCGTCGACGAGGAGGAGGAGGAGGAGGCGGAGGAGGACCTGAGGAGGAGGAGGGGGAGGAGGAGGACGGGGAGGAGGAGGAGGAGGAGGAGGAGGAGGAGGAGGAGGAGGAGGAGGAGGAGGGGGCGGGTATTCTGATTCAAACGCGTGCTGCGCAGTCCACTCCGTTGACTGCGGCTCATCTCCGAAAAACCACAAACGGAGATGACCAACCCTTGCGCCGCCAGGGCCGCTTGGGCAGTGGGCTCTGAGTCTGGCCGCCTGGCACCGCTACGAGCACCGCGGGCGAGCGTCCTGCCGTGGGGCCAAAATCCGAACCTCAAAACTAAAACAGTGCATAATTCTCAATGTACAAAGAGGAAGACAGCTGGTTTGCATGGTCTGGCCCCCGTTGGAACGTTGAACGTGGAATGTCAGTGGTGTGCCTCTCCCAGCCCTGGGCCCCCTGATCCCGGATGGCTGATGGCCAGATGGCCGGATGGCCCGGCCCGCTCCGACTCGAGCGCGGGCGTTGAACCCGGGCCCCGAGTAATTCTAAGCCACTAGGCAGAGTCTGGACGGAAGCTCGCAACTGAGTCAACTGGCTCCGACGCATCTTGCACGCGCGGGGTTGAGGAGGGAGGAGGCCTATGATCTATGATGGGGTGGCCAAGGTCACTTGGCCTGAACGTCTGCACTGAAGCGAAGCTGGCAAGGCAAACGCGGCAGAAGGCCAGCCCGGGCGGTCGACAGAGATGCGCGGGGACCTACTGCCCCTTGCGACGCCGCTTGCGGGCCGGCGCCTTCGCAGCCGCCAGCAGGGCGGTCGCGGACGCTAGACCCGCTGCCGCGTCGGATGCGGTCACCTCCGGGGCGTCGGCGTTCTCGTCCGCGCAGTCGTCGTCGTCGTCGTCGGCAGGAGCGGGAGCACTCCCAGCGATGGCCTCGATGCACTCCGTGCTGGCCACGGCGCGGGCGATGCACGAGTGCGGCGTCATCAGACCGCCGTAGAGCGCAGTCGACGCCACTGCCTTCTTGACAAGGAGCGAGCGCTCCTCGTCTGCTCGCAAGGGGCGCCACAGACTCACCACGTAGGACATCGACCCGCACAGCTTCGCACTCCTGAGCGAGGCTGGCGGACGGCGCGGGCTGCGGGGGGGCTACGGCCTAGGACATGGGCCATGGGTGACATGGGCGGAGCTGAGGACGGACGGCTCGGCATGCGCGAGTCGGGAATCAGCATCGATCGGGCTCGTGCGGTGGAACCCGGGGCCCCCAAAAAAACAAAACCCAGCCTATACACCGCTAAGCCCTTGGCCTTAGCCTTAGCCCGTAGCCTAAATGCGTTGGACAGGGGAGGGGCAATCGGGCGTTCGACGTGTGATAGGGCCCCTGACGCACGATCAATCACCGGCCTTCGAATGCGCATGGTGGGGGCTTCACGGCTTAAGGCCCTATAAGGCTTAAGGCTTAAGTAACTAAGTAGGGCTCTACGGCTTAAGGCTTAGGCTTGAGGCTCATGGCTTACGAGCTCAAACCGTCTTTGACAATCCCCCATCCCCTCGTTCCCCGCCGTCGCGGCATCGTCGCTAAACTCTTTTTCATGTCCCACCCCCCACCCATCTCGGATCCCCTCCCTCCCTCCCTCCCTCCCGTCATCACTCATCGCTCGTGTCATCATCCCTCGTCCCAGCCGTTGGTTCGGACCGCCCCGTCCTGACGAGGATCGGATCCGTCTCGAAAGGCACGATCACGTCCGACGGCGCGTAGCCAGCAGTATTGCCCATCGCGGTCAACGCCGCTGAGAGCTTCTTGCCAATGGAGCTCGGCCCGGACACCCACTTCACAGCGTCGAGAAGCATCTTCGTGGCTGGCTTCATCACCTCTGGGTAGATGTCGTCGCGGTGGTCGCGAGAGAGCACCGTGTCGTTTGCGTCCATCGCCACCAGCTTGGATTCGCAACCGTGCAGGTCATCCAGGTGAACCTGCATGTTCCCAATGACGAGCTGCATGAACTGAACTGCGACGGTGCCCACCTCAGACATGAGCTGACAGGTCTGCCCGGACAAGACAGACTTCAGGATGCCGCATGTGGTCGCCATCGTCGAGATCGACTGCGAGGCAGATGCGGCGTGGTTGGCATCAGCGTCGAGCCATGCATCAGACAGGGTGGCAATGTCCTTCATTGCGTCAGCAAGGGCGGCAATGCTGTCCAAGGCCGCTAGCAGCGCCTCCGCCGCAGACGCCTCATGGGGGAGGGGGCGTGAGGGACGCTGCAGGCTATAGGCTATAGGGGGCCGGGCCCCCTAAAACGGCGAAGCATTTTAGGGCGATCGGCCCGCCTGAAACGGGAGGGGCCGGCCCCCCTAAACGGCGAAGCATTTTAGGGGGACCGGCCCCCTTTAAACGGGAAGCATTTTGGCATTTTAGGGGGACCGGCCCCCCTAAAATATGAGGGGCACAGTCCCCGTAGAAATCGCGCCCGTGGGGGGGCAGGGATCGGGGTCGAAGAGGGGTGCTCCCCTTCCCTTCCGTTCGCGGCTCGACGATCCCCCACCTCGGCCGCCTTCATTTACCCCCGGCCCCTTGGTCAGCGGGGGGAGCGGAGGGGGGGGGGCGGAAACGGGGGGAGGGGTCGTCGAGCCACAACCAGAAGAGAAAGCCTGGGAGCCGAGAAAAAGGTCCTTCGCTGCATCATCATCGGCGCAGTCACGCGCGGCGTCCACCTTGCCCGTCGCCTCTGCAAGCAGACTGGTCGTGCGCAGCCGGGCGACATTCAGCTGGTAGACGGTAGGCGCGCACGTGATCCCGTCGATAGACACATCGAGCGGGGCATCAGAAGCAACATGCGCATCGGAGGCGACGCTGACGTTGTCCCGTGAATCATCTGGGCCATCTGGCAGAGTCTGAGCGGCAGATGCTGGAGCGACACCGCACTTGTCGCTGGCGAACGGGACCTTTCCCAGATCAAGGGCCGGGCGAATAGATGTGATGTAGTCAGTGGCCAACTGAACCAGCTCCTTGACTGTCGCACATGGAATAGATGTGCCCCACTTAGACATGCTCGCAGCGAGTGTGCCTGACAGCTTCTGCGCGCACTTGTCCGACATCTCGACCTCGCCGAGGTCACTGTTGGACAAGATGTGGAGCAACGACACAAACGCCCCCCCCAGCTCGAGCCCCATCTGAGCCATCAGGACGAACTTATTCTCCTTCCACATCAAAAGCCTGAACACCCTCCGGCGCGAGTGCCCAATAACGGCAGTCTTGAACGCAGCGGCGCCAGACACCCCGAAGTGTGACTCGAGCTGGACGTACCCCGGGCCAGACAACAGCTTGATCAACTTCAAGAAATGATCTGCGAACAGGTCCGACTGGGTGGACTGCGAGATGCTGCGAAGCAGGGTTGGGGCTGCGTTGCTGATGGTGTCCAACAGACTGGACGCACTGGCCTGCCACTCGCCGTACTCTACGATGAGCGCTGCCAAGACCTCCGACTTCATTTTCTTGGTGTCGGTGAAACGCTGCAACTCGAGCTCAGCGATGCTGGGCGCGCATGCTGACCGCATGCGCATCACCCGGAGGACCAGCGCCTCGGCATCCTTCGACGTCATGGGCGTCGAGCGGCCGATGGCGGCGGACAGCGCCACGTGGAACTCCGAGACCGACTCCGTGAACTTCGAGCGGACGGCTGCGAACAGCTGCTCCACGGGGGCACACATCGTCGCCTCGTAGGCGCGTAGAGCCTCGGAGTTCTCTGACGTGAACCGTTCTGTCGCATTACTTTGCAAGACCATCCACCGCGCGAAGGCATCTGTCACCTTGCCGAGGAAAGCGGAACTGAAAGTAACTGGTGCCTTCTCTGGCTCGATGTCAACGACGATGTCCACGCCGATGGTCGGCGCGGCGATCAAGTCGACCTTCTCCCGGACCGCAACCATCTGAAGCCGACAGCCAGCCTCCGCGTTCACCGCGGCCTTCTCGAGGTCACACGCCGCCACCAACTGGATGCCAGTGGGGAAGAGCTGGAGCGCCCGCGC